GTATGGTCTTTTTTTTTTTTTTTTTAGTTTTATTCATTTCGGCCCGCGGGCCATAGTTTGCCCACGGCTGGGCTAGAGTGTTGGCCTGTACACCAAATGGTCTCGGGTTCGATTCCCGATCAAGGGCACATATCTTGGTTGCAGGTTCCATCCCCTTCCCTGGTCGGGTCCATGCAGGAGGCAACTAATCAAAGTGTTTCTTTCACATCAATGTTTTTCTTTCTTTCTCTTTCTCTCTCTTTCTCTCTTTCTCTTTCTCTCTCTCTCTCTCTCTCTCTCTCTCTCTCTCTCTCTCTCTCTCTCTCCCCCCCCCCCTTCTCCTTCTCCCTCTTCCTTCCTCCCTTCTACTCTCTCTAAAAATCAATGGGAAAAATATCCTCAGGTGAGGAGTAACAAAAAAATTCAAAAAACAAAATAAAGAAAAAAAGATCAATAAAAACTGCTAGAGAGCCCTGGTAGGTGTGGCTCAGTAGGTTGGACATTGTCCCATACACCAAAAGATTGCCAGTTCAAGTCCCAGAGTACATGCCTGGGTTTCGGGCTCGATCCCTGGTAGGAGGCGTGCGGGAGGCAGGCGACCCATGTTTCCCTCTTACAGTGATGTTTCTCGCTTTCTCTCTTTTTCCCGTCCTCTCTCTCTAAAAATCAATTTTTAATAAAAGAATTAAAAAAAAACACAAAACTGCTGGAGAATCAAGTAGGGCTTTGTGTCCAACATGTAGGTTGAAGGAGTTTTCTGTTGAATGATGCTCTGGGAACGTTACAATTTGAGGAATTAAGAAAATGCCTGTCGCAGGTTATGGATTTGCTATTGTGATTATGGCAGCCTTTGATATGAATGACCCTGAAGCAGTGGTGCCCCAGGTGACATCAGATTTTACATTAAATGCGGTGTCCACTTGCTAAGAACCAATGTAGATGAAAGTGAAGTCCCACCTATGAAGGAGCACCTTGCACAAGCTATGTTTGACCACATTCCTGTTGGGGTGGGATTCAAAGGTATCATCCCAATGAATGCCAAAGGCTTGGAGGAAGCCTTGGAGACCGGTGTGGACTGGTCAATAAGAGAAGACTATGCCTGGGCCGAAGACAAGGCGCACTGTGAGGAGCACTGTGAGAATGCTACCAGCTGACCTCATAAAGTCTCTGCAAGAGCTAAAAAAATAGGCCTTCCTCAGTTGGTGACCCCGCGAGCAGGTAACCACTATGCAGAAATTCAAGTTGTGGATGAGATTTTCAATGAGTATGCTGCTACGAAGAGGGGCACTGACCATAATGGATGGGTGTGTGAGATGATCCACAGTGGAAGCAGAGGCTTGGCCACCCAGTAGCCCCAGATGCCCTAGTTGCTATGGAAAAAGCCAGGAAGAGAGACAAGATTATAGTCAATGATCATCTGTTGGCTTGCATTCAAATAGTTTCTCCAGAAGGTCAGGACTACCTGAAGAGAATGGCAGCGGCAGGGAACTATGCTCTTCCATGACCTTCTTAACCTGTCAGGCTTTTGCTAAGGTCTTCAGTACAGCCCCTGATGACTTGGACCTACATGTGATCTATGATGTCTCTCACAATATCTCCAAAATCGAATAGCATGCGGTGGACGGAAAACAATGGACCTGTTAGTTCACATAAAGGGATCCAGCTGAGCTTTCCTTCCTCACCATCCCCTCACTGCTGTTGATTATCAACTCACTGGACAACCAGTGCTCATTGGTGGCACCATGGGAACCCACAGTTATGTTCTTATTGGCACTGACCAGGACATGACAGAGACCTTTGGAACAACCTGCTGTGCACTGTCCCCAGCAAAATCTTGACGTTGATTTAGATTTCCAGGATGCCTTAGACAAATTGGCAGATATGGGAATTGCAATTCGTGCTGCCTCACCCAAACTGTTTATGGAAGAGGCTCCGAAGTCCTATAAGAATGTGACAGATGCTGTGAACACCTGCCAGGATACTGGAATCAGCAGGAGGCCATTAAATTTAGACCAAGGGCTGTTATCAAACGGTAGACTCCAATGACCCTTACTGAAATAGAAATGGACTGAAATGCTCTTCAGACACCAAGACTCAGAAACCTGCCCTAGTTGATTTGGCTCACTGGAAAGAGCATCAGCCTGCACACTGAAGGGCCTCGGGTTCGATTCCGGCCGCAGTCAGGGGCACATGTGGGAGGGAACCAATCAATTGTTCCTCTCACATCAATGTTTCTCTCTGTCTCCCTCCTACCTTCCACTCTCTCTAAAAATCAATGAAAAGCCCTAACCGGTTTGGCTCAGTGGCTAGAGCAGCCGGGGGCAAACTACGGCCCGCGGGCCGAATCAGGCCCGTTTGAAATGAATAAAACTAAAAAAAAAAAAGACCGTACCCTTTTATGTAATGATGTTTACTTTGAATTTATATTAGTTCACACAAATACTCCATCCATGCTTTTGTTCCGGCCCTCCGGTCCAGTTTAAGAACCCATTGTGGCCCTCGAGTCAAAAAGTTTGCCCACCCCTGGGCTAGAGCGTCGGCCTGCAGACTGAAAGGTCCCAGGTTCAATTCCAGTCAAGGGCATGTACCTTGGTTTCGGGCACATCCCCAGTAGGGGGTGTGCAGGAGGCAGCTGATCAATGTTTCTCTCTCATGGATGTTTCTAACTCTCTATCCCTCCCCCTTCCTCTCTGTAAAAAAATAAATAAAATGTATTTTAAAAAATAAAAATAAAAATCAGTGAAAAAATATCCTCAGATGAGGATTAACAACAAAAAGACTCAGAGGCCTGACAGGTTCCAAAGTGTGCAGCTGTAACTGCCCATTGCAAATGGCTGACGGAGGCTCCTGCGTCAGGAGCCAGTATGGTAAAATTACCTTCTGGGAGGAGTCACATGGTCCCCATTTGGAAAGGAATGTATATGCTTCCTCCCTGGTTGTCCCACAGATTTTTAGGGAAATTAGTGGGTGGGGATAGTTCAAGAAACTGCCTTACTCAGTCACACAAGTCTTTAATCATCAGAATAAACTTCTTTACACTGAGAGGTGTCATGAAGAACATTTTTATTATTCAGAAGGATTCCTTTTTGCCCCTTTTGTCACATTGTCCATTCACCCTCTAGCCCAGCCGTGGGCAAACTACGGCCCGAGGGCTGGATCCCGCCCGTTTGAAATGAATAAAACTAAAAAAAAAAAAAGACCATACCCTTTTATGTAATGATGTTTACTTTGAATTTATATTAGTTCACACAAACACTCCATCCATGCTTTTGTTCCGGCCCTCCAGTCCAGCTTAAGAACCCATTGTGGCCCTCGAGTCAAAAAGTTTGCCCACCCCTGCTCTACCCCATTCCCCTGCACTGAACAAAATCCTAAACACCACTCTTACTTGGAGAGTATCCATGGGTCATGTCAGGATGTTAGGTGATTGAATAAGGGACACACTGAGGAGAGAATATGTGTGGCAGTGTAGGAATAGGGACCCAAAAGAAAAAAGTAATTGTTCATAAACTTGCTACCTTTCTCATTCTAAATATAAGGCAGAGTTTTGACTTAATCTGCAAAATGGCATCAGCTAGTATCTGTCATTAATTAGTCCTGGTCTGGGAAACTTTTCTGGAATAAAAACTTGCACAATAGTAGCAATATCTTTACATGGGTGACCGAATCATTATAAAACAGGAGGCTGCTGCATCTGTGATGCTGATGACTGCTTGTGTTGACAAGACTAATCTTGTGCGGCTAATTAGATTTCATGCTATATACTGTACTGTGACACCTTGAAGATAAAGTTATAGGAGTAGGCCTCTGTTGAGCCCAAATAGCCAGTAAAATGGGAAAATCTAATAAAGCTGCAATATGTTGCTAAAAAACAAAAAACGAAAAAAATCTTTTGTGCAAAAAGGAAATACTGACTACAAATCGCTTTTACTGTGAAATGAACACAACTCAAAATGATGTTTCATAATACTTCAAATTGACATAGCTCTACACTACTTGTGTGAATTTATATCTAGTTTTTTGTGTGTACATATGTAACATTATACTAAAAATAAGTAAATTCTGGTAGACATGGAGAAATTCTTCCATTTAAAAGGAGTACATTACAAAATTGAAAACCACTGTCCCTAAGAAAGGAAATTTTCAAAATACAGTATGGCACAATATATCAATGTTTTTTCACCTTAAAAAAAAAAAAAAACAAACCCCACAGGAGTTAGAGAAAGATATAGGAAACTTAAGAACAACTTGTAAGTATAAAAGGAAAACAGTATAAAACCTGAGAAACTATCACAACAAATTAAGTCTCTCAAAGAAAATGAAACACCCCCAAAAAAGAAACCCAATTTCATGGAAGTATAGAAATATCTTACTGTTTAGTTATAAAACTTCAAAGTTTACATAGTGTCAAAAATAAACATATACTCACCCACATTTTACTAGTAACTATTAGAAAAGCGATCTAATGAATGCCCCTACAGTCGTAAATGAAATATTTTAAAAAATAAATTATTGCCAAAATATTAGATTAATAAATTATTAAACTGCTAGAAGCTATATTAAAAGCAATAAAAAACAGAATGCTTAATGTATACTTTAATCATTAGGAAACTCAGCTTCCCTTTGGGCAAATACTGCTGAAGTCATAATTCTTTCCTCATTTACTTTTGAAGACATTTCAGAAACACGATAATTCTAAAACAAAATAAAAGAGAAGCTTGAAAGGAAGGAAATTGGATGGGGAATCAAGAAACAGAAGTCCAATTCCTGGTTCTCCAAATTATTCTGTGTGGCTCCAGGCAAGTCATTTACAACTCTTAATATTTCTACTCGCTTCTTAGTGATGGAATAGAAACCAAGAATGTCTCTAAATAGAGTTCCTCAGAAAGAAACCACCTTGCATATAAATAATGCTGTTACCTGAGTACATTAAAGATCAAAAAATGTCTTTGAGGGAGGAGACACAGGGCCCATCACTAATAACTGCATGTAAGAGGCAAGAATCGCAAAAAGAACTATACCTTCAGGTTTTGGGGTCTTGTGAATTTGTTGAGAAGTGCAGTCTGAATGAGTTCCCACCTGCTCCCTGCAGTTCGCTCACCATTCTTTGAGGAAAAGAAAAAAAAAAACAAATGAGAAAACTACTCTAAGTTTTTTTGCATCATAGAAGCAAGAGTCAAACAAGAATGTACTAAACTACCAAAGACTAAAGGAATATAAGCTTTGTTTTTACCTCATCTTCCACAGGGTACAAGTTTTGTTCTGAACAAGGCATCTTTACATGCTTATTGTCCCACAAATCTTTAAAATGTGTTGGAAAAGGTTTAGGAACTTCTCCTGCCCGTAAAAGATCTACCTGGAAGAGAGATTAACAAGAAAATTGTAAGTGTATAAAAACTAGGTGTATCATCTACAAAAGAAGTCAAATAAAGCAGCCAAAGCAAATGCTGTAAAATACAGACTAGCTCCTAGGGAAGAGACCTTCTTAAGCTGCTTAGCAGTTTCCACTACTTACCTCCATTTCATCAGTTGCCTGGTCACCATGCTCTGGACATCTATCTCCAGCCCATCGAGGCCTCTAATCCTCATTATTCCTTGCCTGAATTTCTGCCAACAGCCTTCTATCCCTTTCCCTCACTCCAGCTCTTCCCAGAACATTCATCCCTCTTTCACATTTCATGCTCATTTGAGAATGACATTATCTTTCTCAAGTATTCCCAGGCCCGCGCCCCTTATTTTAAAAAATTAAATATACTGTTATTGATTTCAGAGAGGAAGAGAGGGAGAGAGAGATAAAGCATCAATAATGAGAGAGGATCATTGATCAGCTGCCTCCTGCACACCTCCTACTGGGGATCCAGCCTGCAACCCAGGCATGTGCCCTGACTGAGAATCGAAGTGTGACCTCCTGGTTCATAGATAGATGCTCAACTGCTGAGCCACATCAGCCAGGCTCCAGGCTTCTAATCTTATAATGACTCCTCTCTGCCTATACTCCGATTCCAAATGATATTCCCAGTTTTTAACATCTTGTCTTATCCAAACACTATCTGGTTAAACATCTATTCTGACCTTTAACACTCAGCCCAATTTTCATTTCCTCTAAGAAGTCTTCAAAAACTTTTAAATGGTAGTTCATTTACCAGCGGTTCTCAACCTGTGGGTCACGACCCCTTTGGGGGTTGAATGACCCTTTCACAGGGGTCGCCTAAGACCATCGGAAAACACATATATAATTACATATTGTTTACAGTAGCAAAATTACAGTTATGAAGTAGCAACGAAAATAATTTTATGGTTGGGGGTCACCACAACATGAGGAACTGTATTAAAGGATCACGGCGACAGAACCTGGCTGGAGATCCTGGCTAGAACCTGGCTGGATAACATGGCTAGGCTGCTGATCAACTGAACGCTGTCTCCGTGTCATTCCTTCTTCGACGACTCCATCCACACATTTGGGAACCCCTGGACCTGCTGGGGCTGGACCCCGACACACAAAGAATAAAAATGGCTACAAACAGGTACCTATCAATAATAACTTTAAATATAAACTGACTAAATGCTCCAATCAAAAGACATCAAGTGGCTGAATGGATTAAAAAAAAAAAAAAAAATGACCCATATATATGCTGTCTACAAGAGGCCCACCTCCCTCAGAACAAGGGAGTCTCACAGACTGAAAGTGAAGGGATGAAAAAATATATTTCAGGCAAATAGAAATGAAAAAAAAGCTGGGGTAGCAATACTTATATCTGACAAAATACACCTCAAAGTGAAGGCCATAACAAGAGATAATGAAGGCCACTTAATAATACTAAGGGATCAATATAACAAGAGGATATAACCCCGATAAGTATATATGCACCCAATGCAGGAGAACCCAAATACATTAAAAAATCCTGGAAGATATCAAGGGAGAAATCAACAATACGATCACAGTAAGGGACTTTAATACCCCACTGAACTCACTGGATAAATCCTGAGGACAAAAAATCAGCAAAGAAATAGCAATCCTAAATGACAAACTAGAGCAGATGGACTTAATTGACATCTTCATAACAATTCACCCCCAAGCCATGGAATACACGTTCTTCTCAAGTCCACATGGAACATTTTCAAAGACAGACCACATATTGGGTCACAGACAAAGTCTCTCCAAATTCAGGAAGACTGAAATCATATCAAGCATCTTGTAAGACCAAAATGGCATAATATTAGAAATAAACTAAACAATCCAAAAAATTCAAACAATTGGAAGCTGAATAGCATGCTATTAAACCAGCTGTGGGCAAACTACGGCCCGCGGGCCGGATCTGGCCCGTTTGAAATGAATAAAACTAAAAAAAAAAAGACCGTACCCTTTTATGTAATGATGTTTACTTTGAATTTATATTAGTTCACACAAACACTCCATCCATGCTTTTGTTCTGGCCCTCCGGTCCAGTTTAAGAACCCATTGTGGCCCTCGAGTCAAAAAGTTTGCCCACCCCTGTATTAAACAATGGTTGGGTTACCAAAAAAATAAATAAATAAAAAAAATAAAGGATCGCGGCATTAGGAAGGTTGAGAACCACTGGTTTACTCCCTCTTGTTTTATTAGGTCATTATCATAGTAGAGCACAATGGTTTTTCCTTACCCTACTAGACTCTAATCTTGAGAATAATAATAATCATATTAACTTTGTATTCTGGATATTTCCTAAAGAATAAAGCATGTATTTATATGTATAATGTATACACATATATGTAAATATGCACATTTATGTTTGTATACACATATGCTATTTATAATAAGCATTCAGTAAATGTTTGAGAAAGGAGATATTTTAAAACACAAAAGTTTTGCCCTGGCCAGTCAAAACAAAGACCATAACAAGAGACAAAGAAGGCCACTACATAATACTAAAGGGAATGATTCAACAAGAAAACATAACCCTTGTAAACATATAAGCACCCAATACTTGAGCACCCAAATATATAAAAAAAACTCTTGATGGACTTTAAGGGAGAGATCGACAGCAATACATTCTTAGTAGGGGACTTTAAAATCTCACTGGCTAGATCTTCCAGACAAAAAAATAAACAAGGAAACAGAGGCCTTAAATGACACAATAGATCAGATGGATCTAACTGATATTAACAGAACATTTCACCCCAAAACTACAGAATATACATTATTCTCAAGTACACAAGAAACATTCTCAAAGATAGACCACATGTTTGGACACAAAACAAATGTATACAAATTCAAGAAGACTGATATAATACCAAGCATCTTTCTGAATCACAATGGCATGAAGTTAGAAATCAATAAACTACAATAAAATACCTCAAAAACACGCAAATACATGGAAGCTAAATAGCATGTTATTAAACAATGAATGGGTTACCAATTAGGTCAAGAAATTCAAATCTTCCTGGAAATAAAAGAAAAAACACACACAACCACCCAAAACCTATGGGACACAGTGAAAGCAGTCCTGAGAGGGAAGTTCATAGCATTACAGGCGTTCCTCAAGAAACAAGAAAAAGCACTAATAAGCTATCTAACCGGACAACTAAATGAATTAGAAAGAGGACAGCAAGAAAAGCCCAGAGGAAGTAGAAGGAAGGAAATAATACAGATCAGAGCAGAAATAAATGACATAGAGACTTAAAAAAAAGTAAAAAAAAACAAAACAAAAAAAACCACAATGGATCTAAGAGCTGGTTCTTTGAAAAGATAAACAAGATTGATGAACCCTTAGCCAGGCTCATCAAGAAACATAATGAAATCAGAAATGAAAGAAATGATATAACCACAGAAATATAAAGGATTGTAAGTAAATACTATGAACAACTATATGCCAACAAATGAGATAAACTGGGCAAAATGGACAAATACCTAAACCAAACAATCATCCAAAACTCAATCAGGAAGAATCAGAAAACCTGAATAGGCCAGTAACAACTGATAAAATTGAAGCAGTTATTTAAAAACTCCTAGCAAGCCCGGCCGGCATGGCTCAGTGATCCAGCATCAACCTATGAACCAGGAGGTCACGGTTCGATTCCTAGTCAGGGCATATGCTCAGGTTGCGGGTACGATCCCCAGTGGGGACGTGCAGAAGGCAGCCAATCAATGATTCTCTCTCATCATTGATGTTTCTAACTCTCTCTCCCTCTGCCTTCCTCTATGAAATCAATAAAAATATATTAAAACAAAAACAAAACACAAAACTCCGAGCAAACAAAAGTCCTAGGACCAGATGGATTTACAGGAGAAGTTTACCAAACATTCAAAGAACTAACACCTATTCTCTTCAAACTATTCCGAAAAATCAAAGAGGAAGGAATACTTCCAAGCTTTTTACAAAGCCAGCATTATCTTAATTCCAAAACCAGATAAAGACACTACAAGTAAAGAAAATTACGTGCCAATTTCCCTGATGAAAACATGCTAAAATCCTCAACAAAATATTAGCAAATTAGATCCAGCAATATATTAAAAGGATCATATGCCATCATCAAGTGGGATTTATTCCGGGGATGCAAGGCTAGTACAATATTCACAAATCAATAAATATGATACATTACATTAATAAACTGAAAGATAAAAATTACATGATCATATCAATAGATGCAGAAAAAGCATTTGACAAAATTCAGCACCTTTTGATGAATCAGCAGCCCTAGCTGGTTTGGCTCAGTGGATAGAGCACAGGCCTGCGGACTGAAGGGTCCTAGGTTCAATTCCAGTCAAGGGCACATGCCCCGGGTTGCGGACTCAATACCTAGTAGGGGGCGTACAGGAGGCAGCCAATCAATGATTCTCTCTCATCGTTGATGTTTCTATCTCTCTGTCCCTCTCCCTGCCTCTCTGAAATCAATAAAAATATTTTTTAAAAACTCTTAGCAAAGTGGGAATAGAGGGGTCATACCTCAACATAATAAAGGCCATATATGACAAATCTACAGCCAACATAATATTCAACGGGCAAAAAAAGTGTTTCCCTTAAGAATAGGAACAAGACAGGGATATTCGCTTTCACCACTCTTAGTAAACATAGTACTGTAAGTCCTAGCCACAGCAATCAGACAAGAAGAAGAGATAAAAGGAATCCATGTTGGAAAGGAGGAAGTAAAACTCTCATTACTCACAGATGACATGATACTTTACATAGAAAACCCTAAAGACTCCACCAGGAAACTAATAAATGAATTCGGCAAGATAGCAGGATACAAAATCAACATCCAGAAATCAATGGCATTTTTATACACTAATAATTAATTCTCAGAAAGAGAAACTAAACAAACAATCCCATTTACCATTGAAACAACAAAAATAACTAGAAATAAACTTAAAGATGGAGGTAAAAGACTGTACTTGGAAAACTACAGGACATGGAACAAAGAAACAGAGGAAGATACAAACAAATGAAAATGTATACCATGTTCATGGATTAGAAGAATTATCATTAAAATGTCCATACTACCCAAAGTAATCTATAGAGTCAACTCAATCCCTATTAAATACCAACAGCATACTTCCCAGAACTACAACAAATACTCCAAAAATTTATATGTAACCATAAGAGACCCCAAATAGCTGCAGCAATCTTGAGAAAGAAGAACAAAGCTGGAGGGATCACAATACTGAATATCCAACTATACTGCAAAGCCATTATAATCAAAACAGCCGGTACTAGAACAAGAACAGGCATATAGACAAATGGAACAGAACAGAGACCCCAGAAATTGACCCACACCATTACAGTCAATTAGTATTTGCAAAGGATGCAAGCGCATACAGTGGAGTAAAGAACGTCTCTCCAACAAATGGTGTTGGGAAAACTGGATGAACACATGCTAAAAGATGAAACTGGACCACCAACTTACACCATATACAAGAATAACCTCAAAATGGATAAAAGACTTAAATGTAAGCCATGAAACCATGAAAATCCTAAAAGAGAACATAGGCAGTAAAATCTCAGACATCTCACATAGCAGAATTTTTGCTGATACATCTCCTAGGGCAAGAGAAACAAAAGAAAAAAATAAAAGAAACCATCATCAAAATGATAAGGAAACCCACTGTATGAGAGAACATATTTGCCAATGATACATCTGATAAGCAATTAATCTCCAAATATATAAACTCATACAACTCACAAACAATCCAATTAAAAAACAGGCAAAAACACTTCTCCAAAGAGGACAAATGGCCGAGAGACATACGAAAAAATACTCCAAGTCACTAATCATCAGAGAAATGAAAATTAAAACTACACACCTGTCAGAATGGCTACCATCAATAAATCCACAAACAAGTGCTGGCAAAGATGTGAAGAAAAGGGAACAAGTTCACTGCTGGTGGCAATTGGTGCAACTACCATGGAAATTAGTATGGGTTTTCCTCAAAAAATTAAAAATGAAACTCCACTGGACTCAATGATCCACTTCTGGAAATATATCCTAAAAACCCTGAAACACCAATAAGGAAGCATATATGCACCCTATGTTTATAGCAGCATTATTTAATGCCGGGAGCCAGTCCATGCTTGCTGTTTCAAGGGACCTGGCATATATGGCATACTGTTCTTAATATGTTTGCTCACCTTCTTGGCACTATGTGTTTTAACCAAGGTCTCTGAGAAAGGTTGTTTCCCCAGGTAGGGATTTTCCCCTGAAGTTAGGGAGGGAATAAAACCCCTCAACTAAGTGCCAGGTGGGTAATTAATCACTTTAACTATGAACAATCATGCTTAAGCTACATAATCTTTACTCCCTGGAATGGAGATAAGAAACGCCCTAACCTTTGTAATAGAGATTGATAGGATTGAATCAACTGGTATAAATACAGTTGTAACAAGACAGCAAGACACAGAACTTAGAACACAGAACTTAGAAGACAGAACTTAGAAGACAGAACCTACACAGAACCTAGAGACAGAAGAACTTCGCTGGAGAGAACATGGCAAAAGATCCTGGACTGAACCTGACTACAGAAATTGGCAAGAGAACCTGACTAGAACCTGGTGACTGAACCTGGCTGGAGAACCTGGACAGAACCTGGCTGGAGAACCTAGTGAGGGAACATGGACACAGAACCTGGCTGGAGAACCTAGTGAGGGAACATGGACACAGAACCTGGCTGGAGATCCTAAGCAGAACTTCTCTGGAGATCCAGACCAGATCCTGGCTGGAGATCCTGGCTAGGCTGCTGATCAACTGAACACTGTCTCCATGTCCTTCCTTCTTCGCCGACTCCGTCTACGCCTTTGGGAACCCCTGGACCCGCTGGGGTTGGACCCCGGCAATTTAAAATTAGCTAAGATTTAGAATCAGCCTAAGTATCCATCAGTAGATGAATAGATAAAAAAGCTGTGGGACATTTACACAATGGAATACTATGAGCTGTTAAAAAAAAAAAAAAAAAAAAGAGGGATCTCTTATCCTTTGCGACAGCATGGATGGACCTAGAGACTATTATGCTAAGTGAAATAAGCCAATCTGAGAAAGACAAACATCACATGTTCTCACTTATTTGTGGAATCCAATGAACAAAATGACTGACTGACCAACAAAGTAAGAGCTGAGCATGGAGGCATGGAACAGACTCACATACCTCAATGTGGGGGTGGGGGAACGAGGAGAGATAAACCAAAGAAATTACATACTTACATACATAGCCCATGAACATGGACAATAGGGTGGTGGAGACAGGGGTTAGGGGGGCAGGGGCTGGGCAGAGGGAGATAAACGGGGAGAAAATGGGAAACATCTGTAATACTGTCAACAATAAAAAAATAATAAAAAATAAAAAAATAAAAACGTGCGTTAATATTAATGTTCAAATTAAAAACAAAAAACAAAAAAAACTTCAAATTTCAAAAGAACCCCTGAACCACATCAATGCAGCACAATTTGATAATTACTATCTCCTTACTTTTCATCTCCTATGAATTTTACCTGTTTCCAGTGCAGCCTCACTTCTATTGTTTTTTTATGTACAGCTGTTCGATTAATCTTGTTACAACCTAACTATTGCCGGCACAAGCAGTTTACTAGTAATGATTTCCATAATCTACCGAGTCAAGTACAGTTCCAGGCACCTGAAGCCCTCTATGATATGAACCCAGTACACTTTTCAAGTCTTTTCCTCCAATCATTTCCCAAATTCTAAACTCTAGTAAACCAACTGTTTTCCATTCCTAAAACAAATCTTTTTCAACTACACAGCCTTTTATTATAAAGGTTATGTATCTACTGGTATTTGAGATTTTCTTGCCTTACTAACTCCACCTAAGAAATTTCTGCTCATCTTTTTGAGCTCAGCTCAAACCCCACCACCCTGCTAAACATTGCTTCCACCTCTAACCATGCTAACGAATTATGTACTCTATTTAATCACATCTAGACTAAGTTGTACCATAAAAAGGATTTTTAAAAAGTAGTTCCTATAAAATCTAATAACAGAAACTGACTAATAACTGAGATGACTATTTAAAATTGCCCAATTAGTGATAGAAATCTTCCAATAGATAGAAATTGGATTGTGGTGGTGACTAAGTAAATTCACTAAATATTACTGAATTGATGACTTAAAAAATGGGTCAATTTTATATACCTAAATAAAAATGTATTACTTTTTAAAAAAGAACTCACAGGCCTGGCCGGCGTGGCTCAGTGGTTGAACATCAACTTATGAACCAAGAGGTCATGTAGGGTTCGATTCCTGTTCAGGGCGCATGCCCAGGTTTCAGGCTCGATCCCCAATGTGGGGCATGCAGGAGGCAGCTGATCAGTGAATCTCTACCATCACAGATGCTTCTATCTCTTGCTCCCTCTCCCTTCCTCTCTGAAATCAATAAAAATATATTTTTTTTAAAAAATTACAGAACGTATAAAAGAGGTTACCAAGGACTTGCAAGGAATGGGATGTTATTATTTAGTAGGTACCAAGTTTAGTGTGGGATGATGAAAAACTTCTGAAAATGGATAATGGTAATGGTTGTATAACACTGTGAATGTTCTAAATGCCAATGAAACATACATTTTAAAATGGTAAATTTTATATTATGTATATTTAACCATAATTTTTAAAATGAGGTTGGTTTTATTTTTTATTTTATTTTCTGAAAATATATATATCTTTATTGATTTCAGAGAGGAAGGGAGAGGGAAAGAGAGATAGAAACATCAACGATGAGAGAGAATCATTGATCAGCTGCCTCCTGCATGCCCCCTACTGGGGATCAAGCCCACAACCGTGGCATGTGCCCTTGACTGGAATCGAACCTGGGACCCTTCAGTCCGCAGGCCAATGCTCTATGCACTGAGCCAAACCAACTAGGGCATGACGTTGGTTTTAAACATATTGAGTTTGCGATACCTGCGGAACAATGATGGAGATGTTAGAAGAATATAAAGCTCAGAAAAGAGAGCAAAACTGAAGAATAATTTAAAGATACTGAACCATAACTTTGAATTTTAGGATGTAACCCAGTACCTAACATGTAGTAGCTGCTCAATAAATATTGTCAACTAAGTATTTGTTATTAAAAAGAATCAATAAATTTTCTTAAAAATACAAAACATTTCAATTTTCTCATCAGTTGACAATGATTCATCTTACGGATTTGTTAAGTACCATATTAAGCTATCATTATATTTCTACATTCTATAGACTTCTCAGTACTTTATATGCACAAAAGGGAATCGCTTTCTTATGCCTTGGTTTGTTTTACACAGGAATAAGTATCACAAGAAATCAAGACTTGGAGTCTTCTCTCTTTATAGGTGAGAGGTAATACCCACCCGAACAGTTACTGTGTGATTGGCAGATGGTCTCAAGAGAGGCAGCTGGGTCCCACACTTAGGCATTCTTCTCATCTCCTCAATGGGAGTTCCAAGCCATTTCTTATCTGGAGAAAGGTGCGGTGGAACGTATTTAGGGATCCTCCTGTCTGTCCTTTGATGTTTGATTTCACATTGTTCTTTTCTAAGGTCAAAACAAATGTATACAGTCACAAACTACTTCCTGTTTAAATTCACTTAGATACACAATACAAATCTTACCTAGAATGTTATTGTTTTAAATGTGCCAAGCTTGTCTTTCTCCTTGGTAATTAAGAAAAATAAAAAAACTTATAAAGCTTATAGTAAAACCCAAGAGTTCAGTTTCACTAGTTTGTGGAAGAAATTCCCAAACACAAGTAAATCACTTTCTGAAGAAAGGACCATGTAAGAATATGGACACTGCCAGTCATCTTCCATGAAGTGAACTTTGATAGGAAAAATAAATCACAGAAATAATAGAGTGGGCTTTAAGATTCCATGAGGAATATTTACAAAAACGTAACTTTCAATATATTACTTTTGTAATTAGACAGCTTGGGATTTAAATCTCAGTGTTAAGACCCACAAATTACATAATTTCAGTGAATTCTCTAACCCAAATTTCAGCTTTCTCATTTTTTAAGTGAGTACAATACCACCTGCATGACTGTCACAGCATTAGAGAAACTGCAATATACCATGGCCTAGGGAACGGCTAAATGAACAGTAGCTGCTATCAATCAAATATTTTTTTTAAATATATTTTATTGATTTTTTACAGAGAGGAAGGGAGAGAGATAGAGTTAGAAACATCGATGATGAGAGAAACATCGATCAGCTGCCTCCTGCACATCTCCTACTGGGGATGTGCCCGCAACCCAGGTACATGCCCTTGACGGGAATCAAACCTGGGACCTTTCAGTCCGCAGGCTGACGCTCTATCCACTGAGCCAAACCGGTTTCAGCAATCAAATATTTTTATGTCTTGATAATTCACATTAACTTCAAAAGGAAGTTCATTAAACTAAAAAACTGATTAACAATACTTATTTACATCTTCTTTTCTGTTTCAGGCCTTTTTAGAATTTAAAATTTGGAGTCTAGGTTCAAATTAGCATAAACAGATAGTAAGAAACACAACTGTTTCTTTGCTTCAGTGTAAACTGTATCTTTGCTAAACTCCCCTTAAAAAAATTACAAAATGCATTACACTATTGGAGATACACCTGATAGAAAAAAATTACCTTTTGTCCTCTGCTTTAGGCATTCTCACGAAATGATCTGTGATTTTAGAACCCTTTTTCCCATGTTGCTTGGAATTTCTGCATTCTACATTCAGGCTAGAAGTACTTCCAGGCAGTCTGGCACTTAAATCATTCATTCCAGCACAACTTTCTCCTTCAAACTGGAAATGTAATCGAATTTCACCTCCCTTAGCAGATGACTGTTTCCTCAATTCAGTGTCAGCTTCTTTGGCTTGGAACTTTGAAGGTTTATTTGCTCTTTGGGTGGAACTATCTTCTTGTTCATCAAATCCTGGACTCGTTTCTTCATCTGCTTCTGAGTCCTGACAACTATTTTTGGAATTATCTACATCCATTGGTGACTCGAGTTCACTTTCTTTCTCAAATGGAGGAGAATTTCCTAGGCTACCTTCCTGCCTACTCAATTTGTTGGCATTTTTCAGTCCAGTACTGACATCCTCTGAGCCAATGTCTGACAAGGGACTCTCAGGCACTACATCTATCTCTTCCTGTTGACAATCTGCACAGTCTTCCACAAGGTGGCAAGACTTTCTGCACTTCTGGTGGCTTCTGGCTTCTCTGGCCTGTTCATCTTCTGTAGTCTGCTTTGCATTTGCAAGCTTTACAGGTATAAAAAACTGTTGATTATCTCTACTTTCTTCACTATATGTGTCACTGTAATCATCATTTTGAGGTGACTGATCAACGTTAGCATTACTGAACTGTTCTGATACCAGAGTTACTGTTGGAGGTTCACCTTCCAAAAGTTGCTCAGTGTGTTTTCCTTCATTTTGCCACTTACACATAGCTGCAGTCTGCTGCTGGTTCAAATACTGTGTACTTTTTTCAACTGGTGATTTATCAATACTTCGCTGAGAAACATTTTCTAATTTTTCCATGTTATGTTGATAAAAGTTATCTTTTTGTACAGAACTCATCATGGATTCTACTCTTGTATTGTTGTTTTCTTTACTATGCAAACTATAAGAAAATAGAAAGAACTAATGACAAAACAGAACTTACATTATAATAGAAAGAACTTATGATGCAAAGAAACCACTTACCCAACCACATTCCAACATCAGAGCAATAATTAAACTACTTGTGATTATCTAAGCATACAGCATTCTCTTTCATGACTCCATGTCTTTGCATATATGCCTATAATGCCCTTTCCCCAACTATGTGCCTAGTAACTACCTCCCAGGATGAAGCAATAAACGTCACTTCCTGTGCAGTCTTTCCTAAAGGTAAAGTGGATTGTTTGTTTTACATTCTTACTACCACTGTACCTTGTTTATACCTTTACTATTGCATTTATCACACTAAGTAATATAGCAGGTCCTTGATGACACTGTTTCATTCAATGTCATCTATACACATATAAAAAGCCAGAGACCTGAATGGCTGGTCACTATGATGCCACTGCAGACAGCAAACCCGCCAATAAGGGGGTGGGGCCAACCTCCTGCGGCCCCTGATCAGCCTCTCCCAACCCGATTGAGGGTGGGGCAGCCAGCCAAACCTCCCCACGGCCCTTCCCCCTTGCCAGCCCTGCACCCAATGGGCCCCCACCACCCCCATTAGCCCGCAGCCCCTCCCTCTGGCTGGCCCCGCCCCTGGTTGCCCCCCATCCCAATAGTGGGGGGGGCCAACCAGCCAACCTCCTGCAGCCCCTCCTCCTGCCCGGCCTCACCCCAGGGCTGGCCGGCAAATCTCCCACTGCCCCTCCCCGGCCACTGCCCCCCACCAATGGGCTCGCCCCACCCCAATCAGGGGCAGGGCCTGCCAGACAATCACCCTAAGCCCCTCCCCCCAGCCAGCCGGGCCATGATAAGGCCCCCATCAGGGCGGGCTGGCCTGGCAACCTCCTGCTGTCTCCTCCTCCCAACAGGCCCTGCCGATCTGCCCTGATTGGGGCTGGGGTGGCCGTACCCCACCCGTGCACGAATTCATGCACTGGGCCTCTAGTTTTGTTATAATGTTGATAAGATACAATAGGAACTTAACTCCTGTTTCTATCATTTAGCCTACAGCAAAACTGGTTTCATTATGTCATTTCACTTAAAGATGTGAAACCTATTGAAACATTAAGTGAAGATTACTGTAATCATATGTTTCTGTATCTGTTATCACCATTACAAGTATCTTAAAGAAAATTATTTCTACTTCACCTCTGTATCGCAAGTATATAGGACAATATAAAAACTATTTATAAACTGGAAGAATGAATAAATGTGGATTTAAAAAACAGAGAAAGCAAGGAGAGAAAATAGCATGAAGATAAAACATCAATATATCATGCCATTCATTTCTCTATGTACATATGTTTCTGTACCTTTCTGATTCAGCTGTCTTGATTCCTTTAGTGTCCATCCAACTGGTAATAGTCTTTTGTTTGAAAACTGTTAAAAAAAAAACCAACAACACCCAAAACATCAATGTAAATGAATACATACCTTCAAAGAGGAAATACTTATAATAGCATATACACATGTAAGGCATTATGCTAGGTTCTGTGGGTTGAAAAGATCAATCACTCCTTTCACACTCAAGCAATGGGAAATAATACAGGAACATAAATATAAATACACTAGAGGCCCGGTGCACAAAAATTTGTGCACTGGGGGGGGGGGGGGGCGGTCCCTCAGCCCGGCCGGTGCCCTCTCGCAGTCTGGGACCCCTCGGGAGATAACGACCTGCTGGCTTAGGCCTGCTCCCGGGTGACAGAGGGCAGGCCCAATCCCTAGGTGCAGCCCCTGGTCGGGCTCAGAGCAGGGCCGATTGGGGAATTGGGGCGCCGCCCCCTGTCATGCACAGAGCAGGGCGGATTGGGAGGTTGCGATGCCACCCTCAGTCACGCTCAGGGTAGGGCCAATTGGGGAGTTGGGGCACCACCCCTGTCACACTCAAGGCAGGGTCGATGGGGAGGTTGCGGCGCCACCCCGTCACGCACAGAGCAGGGCCCATCAGGGGGTTGGGGCGCTGCCACCTGTCACTCACAGAGCAGGGCCCATCAGGGGGGTTGGGGCTCCGTACCCTGTCATGCACAGAGCAGGGCCCATCAGGGGGTTGGGGAGCTCCCCCCTGTCACGCACAGATCAGGGCTGATCAGGGGGTTGAGGAGCTCCCCCCCGTCACTCACAGAGGAGGGCCGATAGGGGAGTTGGGGCACCACCCCGTCACACACAGAGCAGGGCCTATCAGGGGGTTGGGGCACCGCCACTGTCACACTCAGGACAGGGCCGATGGGGAGGTTATGGCTCTACCCCATCACACACAGAGCAGGGCCCGTGGGGGGTGGGGGGGCGCCACCCTCTATCACCCACAGAGCAGGGCTGATCAGGGGGTTGGGGCACCGCCACACTCACACTCAGGGCAGGGCCGATGGGGAGGTTATGGCTCTACCCCGTCACCCACAGAGCAGGGCTGATCAGGGGGTTGGGGCACCGCCACACTCACACTCAGGGCAGGGCCGATGGGGAGGTTATGGCTCTACCCCGTCACACACAGAGCAGGGCCCGTGGGGGGGGGGGGGGGGTTGGGGCGCCACACCCTGTCACACACAGAGCAGGGCCGATCAGGGGGTTGGGGCGCCTTCCCCTGTCACGAACAGAGCAGGGCGGATAGGGAGGTTGTGGCCTCGCCCCCTCTCACACACAGAGCCGCAGGGCGATCAGGGGTTTGGGCGCTGCCCCCTGTCACGCTGATCCCAGTGCCAAGAGGCCTCTCGGCTCCGCTGATCCCGGTGCTGGGAGGCATATTACCCTTTTACTATATAGGATAGAGGCCTGGTGCACAGGTGGGGGCTGGCTGGTTTGCCCTGAAGGGTGTCCTGGATCAGAGTGGGGGTCCCCACTGGGGTGCCCAGCCAGCCTGGGTGAGGGGATGATGGCTGTTTTCAGCTGGTCACACACCCTTCAGGGTGGGGGTCCCCACTGGGGTGCCTGGTCAGTCTGGGTGAGGGGCTGAGGGCTGTTTTCAGGCTGGTGGGTGAAAACAGAAGCTCCCAACTGCTCCTTTTTTTCTTATTTTTTTTTAATTCTGGGCCAGCTTTAGCTCTGAGGCTTGGCTCCAGCTCTGAGGCCTCTGCTGCTGAAAGCAGGTATCTGGTTTGTTTGGGTTCTATAATCGAAACACTGTATCAACTTCAGCTCTGAGATCCCGGCTCACTGAAAGCAGGTTTCTGGGGTTTTGTTTAGCTTCTATATTTGTTACAATGTTTCAAACTGCAGGCTCAGAGGCTGGCAAGGCAGGCAGGAAACGTTGGATTCCTCCGTCACTGAAGCAAGCAAGCCTCATGTTAGTTTCAAGCTGCCTGGCTGCCGGCCACCATCTTGGCTGGCAGTTAATTTGCATATCACCCTGATTAGCCAATGGGAAGGGTAGCGGTTGTACGCTAATTACCATGTTTCTCTTTTATTAGATAGGATTTGTCATAGAGTAGAAAGCAACCAGACTCTAAAAGAGTTGGTATGGCCTAATGAATGAGAGTATATAGGCTCTAGAATCAGACCACCTGGACTCAAATCCTGGCTCTCCCACGGGATTCCTATGTGACTTTCTGAAGGGTCCTTTCTCTGTGTCTCAGATTCCTTACCTGTAAACATGCAAATGAATAGTATCTCTCTTGGGATTACAAAAAAAAGTGCCAAAAGTCACACTCAGAGCTGTAATTCCAGAATTCAAAACAAGGAAGTCCCAGTAATGCATGACACATGTAGCCTAGAAGGCAAATCTGAAGGGGCAAGAAGAAACCTCATTGGTAGAAACCAGCAAGAAAACTACTGATCTAGGTCAGTGGATCCCGAACCCATCTGAATCACTGGGAGGCTGCTAATAAGTGGGTCCCAGAGCCACATCACACGTACTGAATCAGAGCCTGTATGTGTGATGATGGAGGTATGAGGGGAGCTAGAATCTATATTTTTTCCAAAAAGTGATTTTGATGATCAACTAGTTTGGAGAACTACTGCCAAGGACCGAACTAATCCTTCTGAGAATAGAGAGGAAAAGTTGAGAAGTGAGTCATTACAGACTTCATAATCATAGAAATCAAAGGTGACACTAAGTTTTAAGCTTAACAGACTTAAAAGATGGGACAGCATTACATAGAAATCAGGGGGAGGGTCTGGATTTAGGGGGAAAATATAGTTAGGTCAATTCTGAACATACTAAATTTGAGTTGCCAATGAGATAACTAGATAGAAAAGACCGGCAGACAGTAGCAAAAGTAGCTCAGTAGAGAGAGATGCAACATAAATAAATGCAAACCACAACTTATATAAGCATTAGAAATAAACATGCTTTCAAAAGTTAATGTACTTCATGTAGATTAAATGTATATAATATTTTAGTATAAAAAACACAAAATCTTGAACAGTCTCAACTACTGGTCTAAACTGCAATGAATCTAGGCATATTGAATCATAGACTCATTTTCATCTACGTATGGCCCTCAAATACAACATGAGCAAAACAGATGCTGTCCCAAATATATGAAAATCAACAGCTTATTTATCACTGTAATTAACTGCCACATAATTTGAACCTTCCACAAAATACTAACAGTCTATCTAGTAAAAATGTTTAGCTTTTTCAAAATAGTTTCTTTCAAAAAAGTAATTACATATATATTTAATATTTCTTAATTAAATATCACTCCTTTAGTGATTTACTTAAGTACAGCAAATCAGGCTTCAGAAAAAAATTAGTTTCAGTCAGAAAGGAATAAGAGATGAACCACTTGATTCTGGGACATTTTCTATAGTTCCACCTTCTCTATTTAATTTCATTATATCAAATACAGCAAGTATAAAAAGTCCTCAAATTACAAACCAGCAATGAGTTCCCCCAAAACAAAATCACTTTTTGAGTCAGTGTAGAATTTAACACTTCTTTTTCCATAAATGTAAGGATTATATGGTATCCAATGTCTAGGTTCCTATGATACACATAAAACAGTACCACAATGACAAGTATGTAGAACCGAAATACTGCCTACATTATTTCATAAAAAAACTATGAAGTGTTCCAGTGCAGTTGAAGGGCAGGGTCTTTAACCACTTGCACCATCCGTGGAGTGGGAGAGAAACTAGGTAGTTATAACAGACAGAAAAAGGGAGCTCCCACAGCAACACAACTGGACAAATCAGGCCCTATCAAAATATGAATGGCATGCTAGATTCTGGCTGTATGTAGATATACAAATCTTAATCAATATAAGAAATATGCCCAGGAAAATAAATAACACAAAATTTAAAGACACTGAAAAAATACCCACTTCCTTATCCTGCCTACTTCTCCTAGGATAACTATACATAAAAATTCTAAATACCAAGTTCATAAAAAAATTCCAAAATTTGAAACAATTTTTGATAGATTTAGACTTTGAACACTTTGTTAACTGGCATCCTGTGTCAGATATACTGAAAACATTTACACACATAGAGTATAGCCCAAGTATTAATTTGGTTCATCTTCTGCAGGAAATCAGAAAATCCAACCAGTAAGGACTGCCTGCCCCCTACCACCTGCAAATAACTTTTCCTCCTTTATTTGTAAACTAGAGGCCCAGTGCACGAAATTCAAGTGGGGGGGGGGGTCCCCTCTGCCTGGTCTATGCCCTCTCCCAGTGGGGGAGCCCTCGGGGGGATGTCTGACTGCCATGGAGGCGGGAGAGGCTCCCACCGCCTCTGCTGCGCTTGCCAGCTGTGAGCCTGGCTTCTGGCTGAGCGGTGCTCCCCCTGTGGGAGTGCACTGACCACCAGGGAGCAGCTCCTGCATTGAGCACCTGACCCCTGGTGGTCAGTGCACATCATAGTAACCAGTAGGTCCATTTGCATATTGGTTGCTTATCCTTCAGTACTTAGTTTAGGTCTGCTCCCCACGGCCTCTAAATCAGGGGTTCTCAACCTTCCTAATGCCACAACCCTTTACTACAGTTCCTCATGTTGTGGTGACCCTCAATTTCATTGTTACAAATTGAACATAATTAAAGCATAGTGATTAATCACAAAAATATGTAATTATATATGTGTTTTCCGATGGTCTTAGGCGACCCCTGTGATAGGGTCGTTCGACTCCCAAAGGGGTCGCGACCCACAGGTTGAGAAACGCTGCTCTAAATCCCGAGAGAAGTGTACACCACTCACCAGAGGACTGCCTGACCTCCTTTTTGAAATGCTATCTTCCCTACAAGACACAACAAAAGCCCGGCTCTCCCCCTACTTCTCTGGCTGCTTCTCTTCAGTCTACTCTACATGGTAGTTTCTGAAAGTTTCTGTCCTAGGTCACCTCTATTTCCTCTGCATGCTTTCTATGATCTAACTTCCATAGCATCAATTATCATGTTTATGCCCAAAACTTCCAAACCTTCATTTACAACACAGATAATACTCCTTCTGAGTACAAACCCACACACTGCATTCTCTCCTAAATGGAACCACTTCTCCCCTTCCCTACTGCCCACAGCTAAGTACAAAACCATCTTTTCTCCCACCTAGATTAACCTTTAATGAGTCTTGGGCCTACACTTCTGCTTTCTTTCAGTCCATTCATTTTCCACACACCAGGCACGGGGACCTTTATCCCAAGCCCCAAAAAGATTATACATGATCAAGCCACTCCCTTACCAAAAATCCTTCATTAGCCTCTCCTTGCCTTGTAAAGTGCAAAACCCTGCAAGTCCTAATATGACCTGGTCTTTGCCTAGCTCTCGGTCTCATCTCTCACTCTCGCCCCCTTGACAGTTTATCCGCTGCCTGGAGGAGTGCCTCCTTCCTTCCTCTTCACCTCGCTGACTCCGCAGTCCTCATTCTTCAGGCCTCAGAGTAAGCATCTCATCTTCTGGGAGACTGTCCTTGATCCCAGACTGGACTAGGGATTCCTGCCATCTATCAAAACACCCATTACCCTTTATTATGTAACGGTCTCTCTCTCCTGACAAGTTTTAGGGCCTGAAGACAGAGGCCAAATGACTCTGGTTCAACCCCGCACGCCAGAGTCGAGCACAGCACCGGCTAAAAGGAACAGCTCTGCACCCCTGGAGCCAGAATCTGAATTGAGGGAAGTTGCGTTATAGTTTCTTTCCATCGAGAGGTTGAAGGTTCGCATACACAATTACACCTCCTTAACGCCTAAGACAATTTCTCACGTCAAACCCGAGTAAAGCAGACGGGGGGAGTCTCCTGTCATTTTCCGCCCCGGGACGGCTCATCAGGGCTTCTCACACCACGACAGGAAAAACGTGACCCCATCTCCCCACCGGTGGCCTTCGTGGCTCAGTAAGGGGACCTCGGAGCGGTGCACACTAGACCAGAAGGGGTGACTGGAGTCCCTGGGTCCTCACGGAGCCCAAGAGGAGGTTGGGGCCGAGGCGAAGGGCAGAGATCTTTATTTCCCCACGTACCAAGCGAGGTGATGCTGCCTCTGTGCGGTCCCGCCCACCCCGGGACGCCGCCTGGCGAGGAGGGTGGGACCCTGCACCGCACAGCAGCGTCCTTGGGATCGAGGACGCGCCTCTGCCCGCCGGGGAAGCTCCGGGCGTCGGAGGCGGCCGGCGGAGAAGTTTCAGAGGCGCCCCACCGGGGTCGCTTGATGCGGGGCTCACAGGCGGGGCCCGAACTCATGCTGGGACCCGCACCGCACAGTCCCCGGCCGGCCCGGGCGGACAGCCTCGTTCACTAACCCTGCGGGACGGACTGCGCCTCCTTCTCGGCGCCGCCGGGCACCATCCCCTCTCTGCGCTGCCAGCTTCTGCAGCTGCTGCTCCGCCGGCTGCCCAAGCCAGGCCCTCCCCCGCCGCCTGCCTTCCCTCTTCCGCGGGGAACCCGCCTGCCTCAGGATGCGCCGCCCCGACACGGGCTCCGTTCACTTTCCCACCACCGGAAAACTGCCGTCAGGCGCGGCCGGCTTCCGGGTCGTACCACGTCGCAAAGCGGAAGTATGAGGCTTAGCGGACACCGGCGCCCGGAAGGTCAGCGTGTGGAGGAGTCGGTGGTAACGCGCGTCTCCCCGCTGTTACTGAAGAGCGACGGCCGGACGGGCGACCGCGGCCTGAGGCGGGGGTGAGGGGCCGACGGGCAGTTTGCGGCGAGGCCATGGAGGGCGGCGGGGGAAGCGGCAACAAGACCACCGGGGGGTTGGCCGGCTTTTTCGGAGCCGGCGGAGCTGGTTACTCGCACGCGGATTTGGCCGGAGTCCCGCGTAAGTACCGCGCGCGGCTCGCAATCGTTTCTGCGACTCGGCCCGGCGTGCGGCTGCCCTGCCCTCTCTCACTTGTTGGTGCTCACGGTCCGCAGTGGCCGTGGTGCGGTTGGTGTGTCTCTGCCGCCCCGTCAAGACCGAGCAGGTGTTGGGGGCCCTGGGTCCCCGGCAAGCTGACGAGGGCTCAGATGTTGCACGTTTCCTTCCTTCCGTATCCGCGCCTCGTGCCGTATCTCTCCTCCCACACGTTTATGTCCGTGTGGTGGGCTGTGCCTTCGGCCCTACGTTAAGAGGGGGGCCCAGCTCTGCCCGTAAATGTATTCCAAACAGGATCCCGTAGAAAACCTTTTAGCGCACAGCCGCCTCTTCTACCCACAAAGTCGCCGTCAGGGCGGAACCTCAGTAGTACCGGGAGGCGACCGAGAGAGAGGAGCCGGGACCCGGGCGGGGCTGGAGGTGAGCTGACCTTGCAGGTCCCCGGCGAGAAGAAAGACTTTCGGGAAGGCGTGTGCGAGGCGGAGGTGCAGAAGCGTGAACACCGTTCCCAGGAACATGGACTCCAGACCCTCCGGACGGCGTGGGATGCGGAGAACTCGGACTTAAACGTAGTAGGGACTTGGTGGAGGATAACGGCTGGATAAAACTGTTTTCTTTTTGATAATTCTTGAATTTCTCTAGGTCCTTTAATGCTCAAGAAGAACAACAACAAAAAACCTTTTCCAGCTCCTAGTGTCACCTGTGTCAAAACTGCATCTAGAACACAGTTCATGTGTGCATCGTAGGAGTCTGGGTGTTGGGGCTCGAGGCAAAGCGTTGTCGTGTTGACTGGACTAAGGTTGAAGGCTGGGGGGGGGGGGGGGGGTGGAAGGGTGCACACCAGTCATTGAGCACCTACAACGAGCCAGTGACTTTAATGGACCTAAGCAGTTAGTTTCTTTTTTTTTTTTCTTTGTAAGGCCGCTGCTTTCATGGAGTTTACATCCTACGGAAGTGAGCAAAGTCACAAATGAAAGCACCTCAGTTAGCGTTAAGCGTGCGTAAAGGCAGCAAAGCCAGGCCGTGAGATGGTGCGGGAAGCAGGAACCATTTGAGAATGGGTCGGGGAAAGCAGCTCAGGGTGTTGATATTTGGGCTGTGGCCTGAATACGAATGCCTGGGAGGAGGCAGACATGCCACTGAAAATGTCCGGTACCTGTGTCCCGAGAAGGAAACAAAGGGCGTGTTGGAGGAACTGTTAGATGTGTCTGCAGAGTTGCAAGAGAGTTGGGGCGGTAGGAGATGCTGAGCAGAGGGGCGAGGAACGGCAGCTACTGTAGTGTTTGTGAGCCATGGTGAGGCGTTGGCACTGGTGAGTGTAAATGGCCGCCATTCGGGCTGATCTCCGTTTCTTAAATCGCGTTCGTTGCTGTGTAGAAGGTGAACTGAAGGGCCCCAGCCTGTTTGGCCCAGTGGATAGGGTTTGGCTCGGTGGAGAGAGCGTCGGCCTGCGAATCCCTGCGAATCAAAGGTCCGGGTTCGATTCGGTCAAGGGCACTACCTCGGTTGGGTGGCATGCTCCTCCCAGGCCTGGGCCCTCAGGGCGCGTGCAGGAGGCAACCAAATCAATGTGTTTCTCTCTCTTCCACTCTCTCTAAAAATCAATGGAAAAATATCCTTAGATGAGGATTTTGTTTTTTAAGTGAATTGAAGGGACTACTGTAGTCGAGTGAGATTTAATGGACTAGGATGGTGTCAATAAAGACAGTGGTAACACCCAATACAAGATAGCTATTGAATCGGAACTACTAGGACTGTCAGTTGATGAAAAGACCAGAGTCATAGGAAATGCATAGATTTGTGAACAATCAACTAAGATACAGAAGGATCCAAAGATTAAATTTAAAATGTGAGAAAGTTTATTTTCCTAACTTCAGTTAGTGGGATTCCAGTCTGGCCCTCTTGCGTTTGCATTTTCTCTCGTCCTAACCCCCATCCCTGTGGTAATGGCCAGAAAATTCTCTACCCTGCCATAGTAAATCAACTGTGTCAGCAACTGTCAACATGGAACTGCCATGAAATATTTATTCACAGCACACAGCCCAAACACTGTTTCTCCCATGGAATTATTTGGTTTCTTGTCAGTTTCATTTTGCAATTTGTACAGTTGGCAAGCACTCTTGTAGCAAAGTAGAAAGAAATTAGCTTTATAATTGACCTGGGCTGTGCTTCCTTATATGTGTGGGTGCCTGAGCCACCACTGTAATACCCGGTTTGGGATTGAAGGCAATAGGAGGAGGTAGCCCCAAAACTGCCAGAGAAGAAGGATAAGCATAGAAAAGTGAGAGGAAATATCACATTCAGTGAGTCTGTGAGTCAGAATTGCAAAACATGAAACAAGAGCACAATTAATGCTAAATTAAATAACTTTAAACTTCTTGTTGCAATATGATGCTTTGTTTTCTTCTAGTGACTGGTATGAATCCTCTCTCTCCTTATTTAAATGTGGATCCACGGTATCTCGTGCAGGTAAGATTAAAACTAGTCCTTTTATGGTTTTACTAGTTAGGTGCTTACCATTAAAAAATTTTAAATGTTAGGTATTTATGCTGACCTGATCTGTAATATATATTTTTGGAGGCACCAGTTCTCTGGTATCTATTCACCCTTTTTTCTCATAAACCCTAGGGATTTGGCTTGCAAATCTCCCTGACATTAGTTGATTAAATCTCTTTGAAAGGTTTTGGGGTTTGGTTTTTCCCCCATATTTTTTAAATTGTGGTAAAATAACACTAGCAAATTTTGCTATATAACTGTTTTTAAGTGTTATGTTCACTGTCACTAAATACATTTGTACAACCATCACCACCTACTATATCCATAACTCTTGCATCTTGTAAAAAATGAAACTCTGTAGTCCCCCCTTTCCCGCAGTTTCACTTTCTGTGGTTTCAGTTACCCATGATTAACTTTGAAAATACTAAATTTAAAAATTCCAGAAACAAACAATTTATAAATTTTAAATCACAGGCCATGCTGAATAGTGTGATGAAATCTCCCACTTCATACAGCACAGGACATAAATCATCCCTTTGTTCAGCAGACTGACACTATATATGCTACCCTCCTCTTAGTCACTGAGTAGCCTTTTCTGTTATCAGAGAGAGAAAGACCCACAACATTCACATAACTTAATACAGTGTATTGTTAAAATTGTTCTGTTGTATTAGTAGTAGTTGTTAATCTCTTACTGTGCCTATTTTATAAATTAAACTGTCATAAGTACAGGAAAAAAACATAGCAGGTATAGAGTTCAGTACTATTCACAGTTTCAGGCATCCACTGGGGATCTTGGAACAGATCACCCATGGATAAGGGAGGACTAGTGTACCCATTACAAAATAACTCCTCATTCCACTCACCCCCCAATCCCTGACAGTCACCCTTCTGTCTCTGATTCTGTATACTCTAAGTACCTCAAATAAATGGAATCATATAGTATTTGTCTTTTTGTGACTGGCTTATTTAGCATCTCATTCCATTGAATAATACTACATTTTGGTTATCCATTCATCTGTCCGTGACACTTGTATTGCTTCCATGTTTTAGCAATTGCAAATAATGCTGCTATCAACATGGTGTATAAATATAAATACCTCTTTCAGACCCTTCTTTTAACTTTTTATTATATAGCCAGAAGTGGAATTGCGGCATCATGTGGTAATCCGTTATTTTCTGAAAAATTGCCATATTGTGTTCCACAGCAGCTTGCTATTTTACATTCCCACCAACAGTGTTCAAGGACTCCAATTTCTCTATGTCCTAGCCAACACTTGTTATTTTCTGGGTTTGTTTTATATCATAGCTATCCTAATGAGTTTGAGGTAGTAACTCATTGTAGTTTTGGTTTGCATTTATATCTCCTGTGGAGAAATGTCTGTTCAAGTCCTTTGTCCACATTTAAATGGCGTCTTTTTTTGTTGAGTTTTCTATATATTCTGAATATTATGTCCCCTTATCAAATGCATGATATAAAAATATTTTGTTCCATCCTAGCTGGTTTGGCTTCGTTGGTAGAGCATTGGCCTGCGGACTGAAGGGTCCCACTTTCAATTCTAATCAAGGCACATGCCTGGTTTGCAGCTTGATCCCCAGAAGGCAGCCGATCAATGATTCTCTTTCATCATTGATGTTTCTATCTCTCTCTCCCTTTCCCTTCCTCTCTGAAATCAATAAAAATACATTTTTAAAAAATTAAAAATGGCCCTAGTCAGTTTGGCTCAGTGGATAGAGTGTCAGCCTATAGATCGAAGGGTCCCAGGTTCAATTCCAGTGAAGGGCACGTACTTCAGTTGCAGGTTCCTGCCTGGGCCCTGATCAGGATGCATGCAGGAGGCAACCAATTGATTTGTTCCTCTCACATCGATACTCCTCTCTGTCTTTCCCTCTCTCTAAAAATTAATGGAAAAATATCCTCAGGTGAGGTTAAAAAAAAAAACACAAATGGAACTGCCTTATGACCCAGCAGTTCCACGTCTGGGAATTTATCTGAAGAAACCCAAAACACTAATTTGAAAGAATATATGCATCCCTATGTTCATTGCAGCGTTATTTACAATAGCCAAGATTTGGAAGCAGCCCAAGTATCCTCATCAGTAGATGAGTGGATAAAACCACTATGGTACATTTGCACAATGGAATACTACTCACCCGTAAAAAGGAAGAAAATTTTACCCTTTGCAACAGCATGGATGGACCTGGAGAATATCCTGCTAAGTGAGATAAGCCATTCAGAAAAAGACAGGTACCAAATGATTTTACTCATGTGGAATTTAATGAACAAACTGGTCTAACAAGCAAAATAGAGACAGACTTAAAGATAGCAAGCAGATAGCTCTGGTGGTTAGGGGATTGAGCAAAAAGAGAACTTGTGGACATGGAAAACTGTGGTGATTGCGGTGGGAGGGAGAAGGAATGTAAGGGTATAGGAAGAACAAATGGTGGTGGAAAAAGTAAAAGAAAAATGAATAGCATTCCAGTAAAAATATTGGCATGATTTGTTATCCTGTGTAATAAAAGCGTAGTATGCAAATTGTCCCCTCAACCGGGAGTTCGACCATAGGCAGGGCCAGCTGAGGAAAGGGAAGGAGTAGCCAGCTGGCAGCCCCTAGGGACCCTACCAGTGCACGAATTTTATGCACTGGGCCTTAGTAAAAGTTATAAGAAATAATAGTAAGTTAAACACAAATGAGGAAGCATAACCTGGGAATCTTTAAATGAAATCTTAAATCCTTACATATATAAGAAAGTACTTAATTACTTGAGTTTATTTTATTAGATCAGATTATTAATATTCATGAGTCTATGCATGAACACTTGAAATTAGGGTTATACATTTTAAGGTTTACACATTGGCCTCAGTATTCTATTGTTTTGGGTTTCGTTTTGTTCTTTTAATCCTCACCAGAGGACGTGCTTAGAAAGAGAGAAGCATTGATTGCTGCCTCCCGTATACTGCCCCCCACTGGGGATCAAGCCCACAAACCAGATATGTGCCGTGACCGGGAATCAAACCAGTAACCTTTTGGTGCTTGGGATGATGCTCAACCAATTGAGCCGCTCAAACTGAGCTGTTTTGGGTTTTTTGGTTGATTGGTTTTTTATTAGGATATTGGATTAAACTGATCAAGAAACTTCAGAGAGTTTTGTTAGATATCTCAGGAATGCAAGGTTGATTGAACATTTGAAAATCATTGTACTGTGCCATATCAGCAAAGAAAAGAAACTACACGATTAGCTCAATAGATGCAGAAAAGGCATTTGACCAAATTTAACATTCCTTTGTGTTTAAAACACACACACACACACACACACACAACAAAACAAAACAAAAAAACAATAAACTAGGAATAAAGGGGAATGTCTTCAATCTGGTAAGGTTTTTTTAATCAAAATTTCCAAAGCTATGGGACTGGGTGACGGTGGACAAAGGGATGGGAGTGGGGACGGGGACATCTGTAATAGTGTCAACAATAAAAATGAAGTTTAAAAAAAATCCAGAGAGAGAACTCATGCGGGGGAAAAAAAGCCAAAGCTAACATGGTGAAAATCTCAATATGTTCCCACTAATAAGGAACATGACAAGGATATCCACTCTCTTCGCTTGTCTTCAGCATTGTCTTACCAGGGCAATTAGGCAACAGAATGAATGGCATCCAGATTGATAAAGAAAGAAGTAAAACTATCTATTTGAAGGTATCATGATCTTGTGTATGGAAAATCCTAAGGGTCCAGCTGGCATGGCTCAGTGTTTGAGTGTCAGCCTATTCACCAGGAAATCATGGTTGGATTCCCAGTAGGGGGCTTGCAAGAGCAGCTTATCAGTGATTCTCTCATAATTGATGTTTATCTCTTCCTCGCTGAAATCAATAAAAATATATTTGAAAAAGAAAGGAAATCCTAAGTACACCACAAAAAACTTAGTTTTAATTTAGAATTTCAGCAATGTAGAATGACACAAGATCAGTATACCTAATTAATTATATTTCTATATAATAGCAATGGACACCACAAAAATGAAAGTGCAAAAACAATTCCATTTGCAATGATATCAAAAAATAAAATATGTAGGACTAAATTCAATAAAAATGCAAAATTTGTACTTTGAAAACTATAAAACATTATTGAAAAAACTTAAGACAAATAAATTGAAGGTATTCCAGTTTCTTAGAAGGTTTAATATTGTTAGAATAACAGTAATTTCCAAATCAATCTGCAGACTCAACAGCCTCTATCAAAATCTCAGCAGGCTTTTTTGCAGAAATTGGCTGATTTTAAAATACATATGAGAATACAAAGAATACAAAATAGCCAACAATCTGGAAAAGAAGAGCAAATTGGAGCACTCACACATCCCAATTTCAAAACTGATTCCCAAGCTACAGTAATTAAGACATTGTGGTGCTGGCACAAGGATAGCTATATAGATCAACAAAATAAAATTGAAAGGCCAGAAATAAACTCTTCACATTTATAGTCAGTAGGTTTTCAACAAGGGTATGAAGACAATTCAGGAGGGAAAAATTGGTAATCATATTTTTATAGAAACCAAGAGCTTTAATTTCATGGATTCCTCCCCCAACCCAAATTAATGTAATTTGACCAGGGTCTACTCCCTCAAAATCTTTGAAAAGTTTTGTTATATGGAACAGTACTTTTTTTTTTTAATGCTCACCTGAGGACATGTTTGTTTGTTTGTTTGTTTGTTTGTTTGTTTGTTTTAGAAAGAGAAGAGAGAAACGTTGATGTGAGAGAGAAACATCAACAGTTGCCTCCTGCATGCGCCCCAAATAGGGATCAAACCAAAGACCTTTCAGTGTACAGGATGACGTTCCAGCCAACTGAGCCACACGGGCTAGGGTGAACCAGTACATTTTTATTAACTTTAAAAGCCCCAGTGACAAGTAACCATCACATTATTTTCAAGTCACTATATATGAATGAAGTATATTTGCTTTCAATCCTCATCGTCTTTTTAGTATAGTTGACCCTAACAAAGAGTAAGTTGGTAATGACATGCATTTGTACTTACTAATGTTCATCACGACCGTTTTTTAAATTACCTATTTGTAATTAATGACTCATTTTTTGATTGAAAGATAATTACTTACCTCATCAAATCAAATGTCACATTTCTAAAAACCTCAAACCAGAAGCATAATTTAAAATTAAGTCATTAATTTGAAATTCAGGAAGCACCCAAAATTTACAAAACTGTCTAATAATCTAATAATAAAAGCATAATATGCTAATTAGACCTGATAGCCGACCGTCCTTCCAGACAAAGCCGAGGGGGCTTCGAGGGCCGAGGGCAGGCCCCAGCAGCGGTGGCGGGGTGATGGGGGCAGCACCTTCCCCTGATTGGCCCGGTCGCCTCCCGCAAATGGAGGCCAGACTGTGGCTTAGGCCCGATCCCCGTGGGACCTTTGTTTAGTAAGTGCATTCCTGATTAGGAAAATCATAGCTCTGCACTGGTTTTAAGCTGTCAGTAGGACATCCCCTGCTGGCTCCTGGACTGTGAGAGGGGGCAGGCCAGACTGAGGGGACCCCCCTCACACCAGTGCATGAATTTTCGTGCACTGGGCCTCTCGTGTATGAATATTATTCATGGTATGGCATCTATTCAGTGTGTGCTTATTGCCCAACCAACCATTTTTGTGTGATAAGAATAGATGTGTTTGCTTATTTGTGCGATTTTTGCTGAGAATATATGCATAAGGCAAAAATCAAAATCCAGTGCAGAGCTATGATTTTCCTAATCGGGAATGCACTTACTAAACAAAGGTCAGCATTTCACAAAGGGACCTGTTAGAGAGTTGCTAAATGTGTATGTACTGTCCTTCAGGGGCTTTTTCTAATCATTTTTGTGTGGAGAGCTTGGAAAAATGTATTGAACATGTCCTTCATAAGAATGTATTTTATTGCCCTAACCGGTTTGGCTCAGTGGCTATAGAGTCGGCCTGCGGACTGAAGGGTCCCAGGTTCAATTCCGGTCAAGGGCATGTACCTTGGTTGTGGGCACATCCCCAGTAGGGAGTGTGCAGGAGGCAGCTGATAGATGTTTCTCTCTCATCAATGTTTCTAACTATCCCTCTCTGTAAGAAATCAATAAAATATATTTTTTAAAAAAGAATGTATTTTATTGCACAATTAATCATATGGTGTTATTAGAGTAGCATTTCTTATCCTAGGGTTTGGTTCATACCAAATTTTGTGTATGCATTTATTGGAAAGAGGGTCTATAGTTTTCTTTGTAAGATTATCAAAGGACTAATTATTAAGGTAATTTTGCCCTTGCATAACTGATCCAAACTGTTGTGCTTTTATAGTTTCTGCTCGTTTTTTTTAATGGTCATTTGCTCTCTTACACATCATAAAATGGTGTTTGATATGGAATGAAAGTTATTTTCTCCTTTCAGACTGTTAAGAATAAATGGTTACTTCTCATAGCTTTCACTTTACCTTTCTCTAGGGCTGTTCTTCCTAAACTCTGTTGCACTGTTGTTTCAAATTTATTATTACACCAGAGGCCTGGTGCACAAATTCGTGCATGGGGGCAGGGGACCATGGGAGGTTGGCCGCTGGCCCCAAGGAGGGAGCCAGCCCTCAGCCCCCTTGGGAAAGGGGCCGTATCCACCACAACCCACCCCTGGTTCCCCAGCCCAGCCCAGAGCCCAAAGGCCCCGGTGGGTGGGGAGAGGAGGCAACACCGCCATTGGCACCCCGCCTCTCCCCCCTCCTCCTTCCCTCGCTGCCGCACCACCCACTGTGGCAGGCAGGCAGGCAGCTCCCAGGGAAGGGAGAGGAAGGGACTTGTGTCGAGGGCTGACTTTCATTAGATTGCAGTGAGGGAGCTGCTCTGCTATGTATGAAACACCAACCCAGAAGCAGGTCTCTCTGAATGGTTTAGCAACAGGGACTGATGGGGGCCGGCCGGCTGGGGGGAGGGGCCGCAAGCAGTTGGCTGTGGGAGTGCACTGACCACTAGGGGGCAGCTCCTGCATTGAACGTCTGCCCCCTGGTGGTCAGTGCGCGTCATAGCGACTGGTCTGTCGTTCCGGTAGTTCGGTCATAACGGTTGCTTAGGCTTTCGTATATAGAGATAAGGCAAATGACATGCAATCTGTAAAATTTACATTGAGAAGCACAGTTCTGAACAAGGATCCTTCCTAAGAATGCAGGTGCATAACTATATATGTTGTATGTTTCATTTCACTTTGATTTAGATGTTGCTGTTGTTGCAGAAAGTTTTATTTTTAAGTATAGTTAAGTTTTAGTTAATTTAAGATGATACTTTCTGTGAAAAACTACTTTAACAAATTAAAAAACACTCTGCAAGTACTCTGTCTTGAGAGGAGCTCAGCTTTGTTTTCATTATTACTCCTTTAGGATACAGATGAGTTTATTTTACCAACCGGAGCTAATAAAACCCGGGGCAGATTCGAACTGGCCTTTTTCACCATTGGAGGATGTTGTATGACAGGTGGGTGTAATAAATTTTTTAAGTGTTCTTAATCTAAGTAGTCAAAGATGCTTAAAATCAAAAGCAATTAGAATATTTTACGTTTTTCATCTTTTTCTGTTATATAAAAAATGAAAAAGAATCAAAAGTGCAGTTGTTTTTAAATATAAAGATGTATTATTTGGATGAATTGTTAACTATGATTTACTAGGGGCTGCATTTGGGGCAATGAACGGTCTACGGCTAGGATTGAAAGAAACCCAGAACATGGCCTGGTCCAAACCAAGAAACGTACAGTAAGTCTTATGTAATCATCTGATGTGGTAATGTTGACTGTTAACCGCTACTCTGTCGGCTTGATGAGCACTATCTTGTGATTACAAATGTTGAGAGTATTGATAAACTTTTTGGTCAATCTTTTTTCTTAGTCAAAATAAAAGGAACTAAGAAATCGAGTTAGTGACTCTTAAGCTTTTAAAAGGAATGATTTTTGAGCCAGTGTCCCTCAGTCAGCTAGTGCTACCCCAGCCTAACTTCTCAGCTACACTTGTTTCATTCTGCAGGCCTACAAAACCTGCTTTTCAAATTTCTGAATGATTAGTATATTATTTGGATTGTTCAGGGGCATCCAGAACCATAGGGTAGTGAAGAAATAAAAAGGACATAAGAGTGATTGCTAGATTCGCTATTACTTGACTTGAATTTAACTTCACTTTCCACTTCTGAAGTGGAACGCTACAGAAAATTTAAATCAAATTCCTAGAACTTAGAGGTAGTTCCAGAAGGAATAAGACAGTTTTCTAAGAAAATTATTTTGCAGAAAAGGGAAAGTACAATTAAGAAGACCAGAAAGTGTATATAATATATATCTTCACCCAGCTTAAGAAATAAACATGACCAGTCCCTGTTGACATTCCCTTAATATATTGTTTAGTTTTGTATGTTTTTATACTTTATGTGAGTGAAATCACAGTATACATATATTCTTTTTTTTAATGAGAGTCTTGTTGGTCTTATTTTTTATTGTTACTGATTTTTTTAGAGAGAGAGGAGGGGAAGGGAATAGAGAGAGAGAAACATGTATGAGAGAGGAACATCATCAATCGGCTCCCTCCTGCAAAGTCCCTACCAGGGAGTGATGCCACAACCTGGGCATGTGCCTTGACAGGGAATTGAACCAGCAATTGTTGGTTCTTGGGTCTACACTCAACTGCCGAGCACACCAGCTGGGCTACATATATTCTTCAATGGCTCACATAGAACACTTGAAACTCCATCTGCATTATTTGTTGTTTAGCCAGCAGATGGCAGCAGGTGTCTGCTAGAATTAGACCTTGGGGAATTTGAAGGTAAATTCCTGTTACTGTGTTGATCGTTGCCCTTGCTTTACTAGCCCAGATTCTTGACTATTCATATATATATATACATATACACACACACACACACACACACACACACACACACACACACATATGTGTATATGTATATGTGTGTGTGTATATATATCCTTAATATTTGTTCCTTACTCCGATAATTTTTTTTTTTTACTTTTTGTGTTGTGGAAAATTCGGAATGTATATAAAAGTAGGCAAAATAGTACAGTGAACACCTATGAACCATAACTTATGCTCAATAGCCATCAACCAAGACCAATTATGTCCCATCTCCTTCCCTTCCATATTATTAAGAAACCAATTCCCAGTGTTCTATCATTAAATATTAATTTGGAAGATCTAGAAGAAATAACCTTTGTTTTTTAAAACAGTAACGTTATTAATTTTTAGAGAGTCAAATTAGTTTTCATTTTTTAGAAATCTTCCACGCCGTTTTTTACATAATTATCCTGCTCTTCCTAGATAAGGAGACAGCATTTAAAAATGGAAAAAAGATAGGGTTTCAAGCTAGACAGATCTATGTATCTTCAAAGCCTAGTTCTATTACTTGCTATTTTGTAATCTTAGGTAAGCTTTTCGTACTGCCTGCCTATAAAGATTGTTGAGAGATGATTAAAGTTAGAAGTAAAGGCCCAATATGTGGAGGTACGGTGCCCAGTTGCATCCTAAAGAATTTTACCAATTTGCAGTGCTATCAGCAGTACAATACTATGAAAATTAAGAGTTTTTAAAGCTTGTGACAGCCCTAGTCAGTGTTGCTTAGCTGATGAGTGTTGTCCAATGCACTTTCCGGCCATCGGTTCAGTTCCTGGTCAGGGCACAAACCCAAGTTGCGGGTTTGATCCCTCGTCCGGGTACGTGACGAAGGCAGCCGCTCAGTGTTTCTCTCTCACATTGATGTTTCCGTCTCTCTCTCCCCTCTCTTCCTCTGTTTAAAAATCAATAAAAAAAAAGAGTGGTTTCTGTTTGACAATTTTTTTAAAAGGCTTGTGACAAATGTAAAAACAACGTGCTAAACTTTAAATATATTGGTAAATAATTAATTAAAACAATATACTTCTCTGTAAACAACCTTTTATAAGTAATACAAATTTTTATCATTGAGCATTAATATTTAGTTATTTTTTGTTTGCTACTATAATTCTATAATACCCAGCAGTAGTCAGCTGTCCAGACGGATCGTTCCTGTGATGGTGTTACACTGCTGGGAGAGAAATGTCCTGTCTTCTTCCTCCAGTTGCCCCTGTCACTGTTCTGGTGGCATCAGGCACTGGTGCAAGGCAGAACTGTGCTTCCTTGAGAGTGTGCTAAGCATCCACTTTGGCTGCTTAGTTCTAGTGTGGGAGCAGACACAGCGTGCTTTCTCCGTGGGTTCTGGTTTGTTTTTTCCTTCTCTTCGAGTACATATTTATTTTTAATTCTGCCCTATGTTCTATAATTTTCCACGATTTGATTCTACTTAATATTCTCAACATATACCCCTCCCCCCCAAAAAAAACCTTAATTGTATGCTACTTTGTTCATTATAATGGCCATGTCAGTTTCTGTAAACTTTTTTTCTTTTTGTGTTTCTGTAAACTTCTTATAAAAATACATTTCAGGCTGTCATTCAAAGCCTTTATGTGTTTGATATATATTTAATAATCTTATATATGTAAGAAATTTCCTTACTTGTTACTCACAATGGTTGGCGTTTTTAACATACCTTCATTTATATTTCTATAAAGTAAAAGCCATTCTTACTGAATTCTGAGGAGGCATTAAGTTTTTTTCATGAAGAAAACTTGGAATTGGATTTATACTTTTTAAATAGCTGCAATTATGGTTTTTCACATTACTAGAGGAAATAATGATTCTAAATACAGATTCTTTGTCTTTCTGCCCTTGCAGGATTTTGAACATGGTGACGAGGCAAGGGGCACTTTGGGCTAATACTCTAGGTTCTCTGGGTAAGTAAAGATTTCACTTGATAATAAATTAATGAAAAGAAAGAATGTACACATGTCAGGAACAATTTGATCAACCAAAATGTTTTAAATTCTAGGAAGAACAGGAGCTACATAAAATAATCCCAAGGTTCTAATACCATCTTGTATACCATTTCTGAATGTTTTAAATCTATTAAAACTCTAAAAAAAAAAACCCTCTAAGTACTCTCCTATCCAAGCACAACACCAAATAAAATCATGAACCTTTCCAAATACCTTCTTTGCATATCCGGAGTCATAGTCACATGCCTGGATTAGTGACTATAGCTCGTCCTCCTTTTTGTTTTAAGTGAGTATACATAGCATTCCATCATATGGAAAGTCCCTTTCTGGACCAGTCTCTTCCTGATGGGCATTTTAGTTGTTGCCAGGCTTTTTCTATTACAAACATTGTTCAAGTGATCCTGCTGGCAACATGGGAAAGCAGCAGGTCATCCACAAAAATCTGCTCTGCCCTCCACCATAAGCCAGCTGCTTATATTGGGTAGGAGGACAAAGATTACATGGGAAAGCGGGCCCAGGGTAATCATTACAGGTTACAAGTCATGTAGGCTTGGCAGGGGGGCGAGGGGGGGCATGGGGAGTGTCACACAGGGTGGGGTGGAGGGGTCAAATGTGGCAGTTTTGAGAACAGGTAAGAAAAAGGGTTAATGCAGCAATTTTTCAACTGGTGTGCCTGGTACATGGGAACTTTGATGCTAAATCTAAGAAAGTCTGGGTAGAACAGAATGGCTGAGTGATCACTCTTTATACCTTTGAATACTTACAGAATGATGACTGTAGGATACATTTATCTAAGTATAATTTCTATACTGACTTTTAATCACCATTGTATTACTGATCAGTTCCATTTCCCCTGTAGCTTTGCTTTATAGTGCATTTGGTGTCATCATTGAGAAAACACGAGGTGCAGAAGATGACCTCAATACAGTAGCAGCTGGAACTATGACGGGCATGTTGTATAAATGTACAGGTAGGAGATTTTGAATAGAGAGCTCTCTTAATACACTTGAAGTATGCTTTTGATGCATAGATTTCGAAGGAATCTGCATCCTTTTTTTTTGCAGTATAATCTAGTGTTCTCAGAAACTAGAGATTGTTACGGTTTTGGTTTGTTTAGTTTTGGTAAAATACATATAAGATTAACCATCTCACTATATTTTAAGTGTACAGTTGAGTAAAGTTAAATATATTTACATTGTTGTGCAACCAATCTCCAGAACTTTTCTTCATTTTGCAAAACTGAAACTACTCATTAAGCAACTCTCCATTTCTCCCTTCAGCCCCTGGCAACTACCATTTTGCTTTCTATCTATGAAATTGACTACTTTAGGTACCTCATGAAAGTGGAATCATACAGTATTTGTCATTTTGTGACTGGCTTATTTCATTTAGTGTAATGTCCTCAAGGTTCATCCATGTTACAGCATGTGTCACAATTTTTTTCCATTCTAAGCAGATACTTGGTTGCTTCCACCTTTGGCTACCTTGAATAATACTGTTATGTATGAACATTAGATAAACTAAATACCATTCAGTTTTGAAAATAAAGTCCTAAGAGTTGATCCAAAATGGTCTGGGGAAGATCAGATATCAAATTTTCCTCTAAAATAGAAAAATAATTAACATTCACTGAACTATGATTATACTCCCAGCAATGAATACTTAATAATTTGTTTTATTTAAAACTGTGAAATGAGAATCACACTCCAGCTTTATAGATGAGCACAGTATTAAGACGACCTTTTTCAAAATGTCATATAAGTAGTGACAGCCTCACATTTTTCATCACGTCAGTTTGTTTGTTTTTTTAATATATTTTATTTCTTTTTCACAGAGAGGAAGGGAGAGGGATAGAGAGTTAGAAACATTGATGAGAGAGAAACATGGATCAGCTGCCTCCTGCACACCTCCTACTGGGGATGTGCCCGCAACCCAGGTATATGCCCTTGGCCGGAATCGAACCTGGGACCTTTCAGTCCGCAGGCCGACGCTCTATCCACTGAGCCAAACCTGTTAGGACCGTCATGTCAGTTTTAAATTACTTAATTAAACTGCTTAAGTTCTTCACTCCTGTCTCTGAAGAGCACTTTCATGTGTTTGATTGCTTTATTATGTCTGAGACACTTGATTAACTAAGTAATTCTGTTTATTAGGAATTCTTTCATCACATGTATCAGGTAGTATTTTTGCTCAGTTTTTATGAGAAAGAAATGTGAGAAGTCTCATGGTTATAAAGTCCAAGTTTTCCTATCATATCTAGAGTGAGAGGCTTTTCTATTTTGAAATAGATTGCATTTGGAATTTTATTCCTAAGAGCTCACACAGCTTCTTACACCATGTATGGTGTGTTTACAAGCAAACAGTTTCCAGGTAGAATATGTCCATGAAATGTTGCCTTGGCATAGAAAAAGCTTATTTTTTTTTAAATATATATTTTTATTAATTTTTTTACAGAGAGAAAGGGAAAGGGATAGAGAGTTAGAAACATCGATGAGAGAGAAACATCGATCAGCTGCCTCCTGCACACCTCCTACTGGGGAGGTGCCGGCAACCAAGGTACATGCCCTTGACTGGAATCGAACCTGAGACCTTTCAGTCCGCAAGCCGACGCTCTATCCACTGAGCCAAACCGGTTAGGGCGAAAAAGCTTATTAAAAACCTAAAAACACTTGCATATTGAAAATCTGTAGGGTCAGGCAAAAGAATTTAAAATTTTAATTGGCAGCACAAAGGTGGCACTCAGCCTGAAAGGGTTTTTAAATAACAAATTAATATTTTAAAAAATGAAGATTTCACAAAACTCTGGAATTCCAGCTTCTTTTGAATAAATGGAAGACACCAAGCTCACACTGTATGGTGGCAAATGGCTGGAGCAGAATGGGGAGCCACTTCTACCCCAGTGGGTGGGCATGGAAGCTGAGTCCCCACCATTCCCTGTTTTCTTACTCAGAGTAAGCCATTATGGCTTTTCCTGTGTTAGGAGCAGTTCTGAATATACAAATGCAAATTATCTAATTTAAGGCATTATGCATATTTAAAAAATAGAAAGGAAAAGGCTGAATACTTGATATTATCAAAAGAAATGGTAGCCAGTTTTCTGTGTCTAGGACTTCCTTGCAGTAATAGCTTGGGACAGCTTCCACATAAATTATGGAATAGAAAGCCCTTGGCTCAAAAGAGAAAAAGCAAAAAAGATTATCCATTAGTTCTGTCAGGTGATGAGTTGGTTGCAGCTCCCTTTCCATTGGGGACCATAGAGGAAGGTAAATGATCTGCTGAACCAAAATTCCAACATTGCTTCCCATCCCTGCCTCAGCAAAGGCAGATTGGTGTCTTTTATTGATTTTGTGTGGCAGGAATGCAAATGTGTAACTTCAACTTTCAGATTTGGAAAAGAGTTTGGGCACCCTAGTCTAGAGCAGCATAAACTATTAGGAGAGGAATTTCACATTTAGAGAATGGCTAATTCCTGCTGACCAAAAATATTTGCAATCCCCAGTGTACTCTTCAAAATATTTTTTTTTTTTTAAAAAAGTATAGCTCTGGGGCTGTCACTTTAGCCCTCACCAGTTTGGCTCAGTGGATAGAGCATCAGCCTGTGGACTGAAGGGTCCCAGGTTCTATTCCGGTCAAGGGCACATGCCCAGGTTGTGAGCTCAGTCCTCAGTAGGGGGCGTGCAGGAGGCACCCAATCAAAGATTCCCTCATCATTGATGTTTCTATCTCTCCATCTCCCTTTCTCTCTGAAATCAACCATATATATACATATATGTGTGTGTGTGTGTGTATATATATATATACACACACACACACATATCTATAATAATCCTATCTAATAATAGACAAACAGGGTAATTGACCGTACCTTTGCTACGCCTCCCATTGGCTAATCAGCATGATATGCAAATTAACCTCCAACAAATATGGTGGATAATTTGCATACGTAGGCTCCAAGCGGTGGAGCGAAGACTGAAGGCAAGCTGGAACAGCGAAGACAGAAGACAGAAGGCGGCTCTGGCCAGGGCCGCGAAGATGGAGGACGGAAGGCAGCTCTGGCCAGAGCAAAGGCCTGGGTCCTGGCTGCCGGAGGAAAACCTGTGCCCGCAGCCAGGAGAAGGGAAGGCCTATTGCACGAATCTCTTCGTGCAACAGGCCTCTAGTAAAAGTATAATATGCTAATTAAACTGGGCAGCCAGACGAAGCCGGAATTTCGTGCATCAGGCCTCTAGTATAAAATAAATGTGTTAAAAAAAAGGGGGAAGGACTTTAGAATGAAAGTAGTATGATCCAATGTAGCCACTTTAGTACAAAAGTAGTACTTTTGCAGCTACTTAGTAGAAAGAAAAATTATGAGGAAAATACTACATGACAAAATGGGCTATTGTAACCAGACAACCAAGGAGTCAGGGCTGCCTGTCACTATGTGAGCCAATTAAGCAGAGACAGGGTTGAATCATACATGAGTGTTTATTCCAATCCTACTGGCAGCATGGGAGAGCAGCAGGTCATCCACAAAAATCTGCTCTGCCCTCCACCATAAGCCAGCTGCTTATATTGGGTAGAAGGACAAAGATTACATGGGAAAGTGGGCCCAGGATAAACATTACAGGTTACAAGTCATGCAGGCTGGGGGGGGTCCACATAGCGTGGATGCCCTTGGGCGCCCCAGGACCAGATTGTAGATAATAGGGGCTGGGGTTGTAAAGAACAGGTGCTTCCAGAATAGATTGTCTCAGCCTGGAGGTTATAAATCTCTCCATAACCACAGGCAGTTCTTGGGACAGGAGGTTGGACTGCATTCCGATGTGAGCTCCCATGTCCCAGGGCGGACAATTCCCAGCCAAGAGAAAATGTGCTTTCTAATCAGAACAGAACCATCATGGTTAACAGCATGATTAATATGTCTCATAATTAGTTTCCAATCTTCTATTTCTGCCCCTAACATTGTCACACCAGAATATGTTTATTGATTTGAGAGAGAGGGGGGGAGGGAGAAAGAAACATCTATCAGTTGCCTCCCATACGCACCCTGGCTGGGGTTTGAACCTGCAACTTTTTTCATGTACACTGACCAACCAGCTGAGCCACCCTGCAGAGTCAAGAGGATAATTTTTAAAGTAATAATTCTGATGATACCATTTTTTAAATTTTGCCCTAGCCGCATTGGCTCAGTGGATAGAGTGTCGGCCTGTGGACTGAAGGGTCCTAGGTTCGATTTTGTTCAAGGGCACATGCCTGGGTTGCAGGCTCTATCCCCTGTGTAGGGCGTGCAGGAGGCAGCCGATCAATGATTCTCTCTTATCATTGATGTTTCTATCTCTCCCTCTCCCTTCCTCTCTGAAAATCAATAAAAATATAATTTTAAAACATTTTTCACTTTATTTTGTTAATCCTCACCCGAGGATATTTTTCCCATTGACTTTTAGAGAGAGGGAAGGAGGGAGAAAGAGGAACACCAATGTGAGAGAGACGCATCAATTGGTTTCCTCCCATACGTGCCCCGACCTGGGCTAGGGATCCAACCTGCAACCCAGGAATGTGCCCTTGACCAGGAGTTAAAACTGGGACCCTTTGGAGCATGAGCCGGCGCTGAGTGACACCGACCAAGGCAATGTTCTTTTCTTTTTTTCCATCACCATTTATCCCTTCTATGCCTTCTTTCACCTCCCCCCACATACAAGCTGTCTTCCTGCTCTCTGTCTATGAGACTATCTCTATTTTGCTTGGTAGTTCAGTTTGTTCATATGATTTTAGTTCAGACCTAATGTTTACTTAATAAGTTATGTAAATATTTTTCAGAAGGCGTGAAATGTCATTATTAGATTTCCTGTGGCATATGAAAGTATTTAATAATAGCCAGTATTCTATCAGAACAAGAACAGCTTTAGTTTTGCTATTACCCATAAGTTTTGGAATGATTTAGAGGCTGATCACTTATCTTCAGGAAATAAGGCCTCAGAAACCAAGACA